AAGTTCGGGCCGCAGTATTCAGGGATTTAAGGAATGAGCCATTTTATATTTATGGAAGTAGACATAGAACCAAAACTGCAGGTCCTTAATGAGGAACATCCCATATAGACGTGTACTGAAAGGTCAGGGGCTGGAGTAGCTTTTGTTAACCAAATCATATGTGGCAGCGTTGTAGAAGAGAGAATTTAATACGACATGTTAAGCTCCATGAGAAATGAACTGGCAAATTGAAATCAATTTATTACAAGCAATGGTAAATCATAGATGAAAACGAGCGATACGCACTTTAGGTCTCATCAGCGCGTTTAAAATACTGAATATGTTTACGAGCGCAATAAATGTCATTAGGGCAGAGTTAGAACCAAAGAGAGATTAGAACAGTGTCTTGGAGAGCAGTCTTTATATTGGGGCTTTCATTTGAAACCAGCAGAGACTCATTAAGACTTGTTTATGACATAAGAGATGCGAGCTAGTAAAGTCTAAAGGGTTACCGCAAATTCCTTGAACATTTACTTTTACTAAACGCCATATACAGTAGGTGTGTCAACTCACGAAATATTGACTAAAATTCTAAAATTCGTTTTCAACTCCAAAAGATTAATGAAATAGGGTTGTAATATTAATTGCTATACTGCACATGCCAGGGATAATTCAGTTGCATCAAGAGGCGAGCCCCTGAAAACATTTCCATTAAGCTGCCTGAAAACATTACACTCAGTATAAAGTGTCTAATTTGATAAGAGAAAACGATTTTATTGATTTTTGATGCCTATCTAAGTTTAAATATATTTCGTAGAGAACATGCATAAACACGTTTATCTTCTTACCTAACGAGTGAAAAATGCGTCTTTTTCAAATTAAGTATCCGAAAATGTGTATTATGCGGTTTATCAAAGGTTCTAATCATGAAAGCGTTGTGGACCTCTAACTGGTCGCTCAAAAGCCATAGCGTCTCTGTTCTCAGTATTATTGCTTTTAAAGATTACAATAGGATTCAACTCAACTTTTAAATGCTACGAATCCCCTAATATTTATTTTCGTAATAGCGTATAAAAATCTATGCTTTGCCGTACGTGGGAGCATAAACTTGAAATTCCTGAATTCGAGTAGAACGGCTGGTTTTACTTAAAATTATTGTGTACTTTAAAAAGCTTTTAAAACCGAGGTACACTATTTCTTCTTTCGTAAGATTTAATGAAGTTGCCATTTTCTACAAACTAATTGAACGATTGCACATTTCTATACGTGTTCTCCATGAAACATATTTGAATGTATCAGAGCAGGATAGTCAAAGAGAAATACATGCTATGTATATGTAGTCAAGTTTTGGTGAATTAAGTTCTTCCGGCAGCTTAAAGAAATTCCACTCGGAGGCTCACTTATAAAGTAACCGACTTATCATGCTGCACGCTGAGTAATGTTGCAACCTAACTTTAGTAACATTTTCGAGTCGTAAGCGCATTTCAGAATGTTGGGTAATATGTCATGGGTTAGCACACCAGCGGTTTATCGTACTTTACGGCGGCTTTATACAAAACGACATTAATAGCGACTCAGGATAAAGTACCGTCAGGAATTTGAATTTAGAAGAGAAGCATTACTATTTTCCCATTATAAACCAGGCAATTACGAAATGCTGGGAGATGATAACTACTTACTAAGCTATATAAAATGCTAGCCATTTTGACGAAATTTTTTCAAGCTGCTTAATGAGGGCAATTTTAAACATCCACCGATTTGAAAAGAAATGGTGTCAAAAAATTGGAAGCACTTCTAAGTGCGCCAATTTTAGTTTTTCATACGTAGGATAGGATGCAAATATGGAAATCTCACTTCTTGCTAAAGGATTACTTGAGGTATCATATTGAAAGAGTGCAATATTAACCTATATGCACTGTGCTTCATGTCTGATTTATCAAAACAAAAATGGCAAGAAAGTGCACTATGATTTCCAAAAAAATATATAATTAAAATTATTGTAAACGTAAGGCCGACCAAAAAGTTCTTTATGAAAATCCATCATCTCAAGACAATTTTAGGATCTGACCATAAATGTTGAAAAGTCGACGGATTGCCTCTCCCAATAAGACGAAAACTAAGACTTTTACAAACACGATGCACGCTTAGTAATATAGTGGTTTTCTTTGCAAAAGCAAGCCGCGGCTCATTTTTTTTCGGGCTACGCATGTTGAAATTTATGACAATAAAATATTGTTTGTTGTTGAGTAAACAAGATCACAGCAGTCACTTCTGGAAAGTTATTGTCTCAAATGAAGGGATTGTCCTTGATGTTTACTCGCATTTTATGAAAGTGACCAAGGAAACTCTTTAGCTACGTTAAATAAATACAAGGTTAGGTGGGGGGAATTGGAATACTGTAGTATCTCCATCATGGTCGTTCGTATGTGAAACTGACAATTTAATTCCGTTCAAAAGGATGCTAGCATACCGTAGAGACGACCTCATAATCTTAGCTCAGACAAACAAAGGATGCAAAACAGTTCAATATATCGAAGAGAAAAGGCACAATAATGTACAATTAGTAAAAATCCACACGTGAATGGAGAGCTACAAAAATGGTGGCTCAAATTCAAAAGCCCGCTCGAGCTTCAGATTAAAACGCCTCCGTGAACACTAAATGGTGCCAACGGAGAAACGTCGTTCATTCGATTGCACTGGATGTTCTCAGCCGCGCAAGTCATAAATACCAGGTCTCGTTTGACGAAAACGAAGCAAACATCAGCAGCCAGCTCGTCGAGAAGAACAGGCAGCACGATGCCGAATTGGCGCGTCAGTTCTCCAAATCCAGTCAAGCCTTCGGCCGGTTCCGGAACTCCACGTGGGATCGCCACGGCCTTCAATTGGACACCAAACCAAAGATGTTCAAGGCCGACATTCTGATGAAACGCTCATATGCAGCGGAGATCAGGCCCTTTATTCCATACAAGCCAAAAAGCCCAACCACTTCCATCTCAGCTGCCGTCGCCAAACACTAAACCCGAAGATGCCAGACGGGATTTAGGACCCGGAAGTTCTCGAAAGGACAGGAATCTTCAGGATCCACATAATGTTTAAACTTTGCACCCTGACTCTCAGGTCATCAGTCCATTACTCCACATAACCACGCACAACCGCACAGACTGCACGAGAAGGTTGCCGGGTGACGCATCAAGTCAGTCCCTGCAGTCTCTCAAGTTGTGCATGTTTCCGTAGAGTGGCGGACTGATGAGCTGAGTGTCGGGATGCAACAGCTTCTTCATAACGTGACGTGACCTCTGACAGTCTTACGCATGTGAGTTGTATAATGCCCAAGCCAGAGTGTTTGAAGTCCTGGTGCTTGCGTTTGGGGGGTCAAGTCATGCGGGCGTCCGCCACTGCGCCCAGTCCCCGCACCAAGAAACTGACCACCTCAGAGACTGGGAGCGTTGCCAAATCAGAAATAAAAATTACAGAAACTGTGACCTAGAGGCTAAGAGCCCATCAGGCAGATAGGCAGGGCGGTGGATGCCTTGGCAGCAATTCATAAAGCACACTCTTCTGGTGACAAATTGATGGAACTAAACTTGTTCTTGAGCAGGCCCTGCTCATGATTAAAACAGCGTGATTCGGATAATTTAAGTTTCAGCGAGTGAAACCCAGTGTTTATTACTCATATCTAAGAGACACGTAGAAATGAGTTTGAACAGCGCCGCCGCGACTAAATGTTGTTGATTTATAAGAAAAGAGGGACAGTTCAATAATTATTCTTGTGGAAATAGACGATTGAGATATTTCACTGGGCAGAGACGTGAACAGAGAAGACAGTAGTCGGATAATGTATTCTAGTAGTGGGCATATTTAGACTCTATGCTAATCCACACTAAATTACTGAGACCTCCGATGAAATCTACTATATTTCATCCCTTCTTCGACGCATACCTGCATTAGATAGGCTAGCGCATGAAATGCACATCTTCTGTGCATGGCTTTAAGTAAATTTAATGGCTCCAGGAATCCGCAGTAATCCTATTGCCTTTGCTTGTTCGCACCCATCAAGCCATAAACAGAAGTTCTCAATGCGTCCTGCAAATTTCAAATGGAAACTCTACTATAACGGTGTTCGTCAAGACATTGTCCTAGTCCTGCTTTAGTTTGAGCTGTCTCTTAAATATATTTTTTAGGCACGTAAGCTCATTTTAAGTGCGCCGATGGGCGCAAAGGCATCTATCGTTTGTTCACATCCAAGAGTCTAACGGTGCTTACAACAAGCTCATTCTTATTTGCTAGTTCTTTCCTTATGGAGCCCGATGTTTCATATGAAATTATGTCTACTACCATGCTTCCGCATATGTTCTCGGTTACAAAAGCCACTACAGCCTGTGACCTTTCTGTACTTGTCTTCAAAGGATGTTTATCATTAAGGACCTACTGGTTTGGTTTTATTTTTACCTCCATAAAGATATAAACAGTCCGTCCGTTGTACCCTCAAGTACTGCTGTCTAACCATTAGCTTAAAAAACCGAGCCTATTCATTATTAGATCAGTATTTTGAAAAACAACTGGATAAAAACTCTTATATCTGACACTCAAAGAGGAGGCCTAGGTGACTTCCATCCGGACGTTTAAGAGGAGGATTACCCCTGACCCCTAACCCCAACCCCTATTCCCCTTACGGCTAACCATAACCTTAACCCCTAACCCTGACCCCTAATCACAACCCCTACCCCTAATACCTTACACTAACAACTGAAAGGTACGGCTACGAAATAAGATCTTGCCGTAAATTCAAATTCGGACAACACTACCCAACAGCTGCTTGCCCTGACACGCAGAGTTTTCCTACGACGTGCAATGTGCTGGTCGTTTGTGTGGGTGAGGTTTTTTTTAGAGATAACGCTGAGTTTTCATTTAATTATATTCCATGAAGAACAGAAACGAAAAATGATATTTGGAATCGTTTTACGTTAGTTCAGACAATAAAGCCAAAACCGAGCCATGTAGACGTCAGAAACACAAGCCAATCAGAGTATGACCATCAAGGACAACCATAGAAGAAAGAAGCCGCCGAGAGAAATAAATGAACCTTTCATGACTTTCGAAGAATTCGGTTGATCGGGAGATTCATGCGGGACTGTCTGGTTGGACATGTTGCCCATTTCTTCAGTTACGGGCAATTCTAGAAACGGGAAGACAATTCTGTCGGACGATTCTAGGTCTAAGTGCAAGAAAATCATTGCCTAGTAAGGCTTATTTATCCTCCTGTTATTGTCAGGCTAAAAAGAAACATTTAGGAGCATTCCGATTCACTAGGAATGACGGTTATTTCGCCAGCATAAAGAATTATATCCAACATTATTTTGACTAAAGCGTTGGGCCACGTCAGTTGGAAAAAGCGGTAGTCTACTATACAGTGTTTTTTGCATTAGTGAGCCCATTTTTATCAATAAATCAGTGCTATTGACATACAGTAAATGACGGATCTCATGAAATATTTGCTGAAATTCTAAAATGCGTCTTTAATTAGGAATAATTACTTAGGAACGCTTACAACACTGATTATCTTGCGGCAACTTTCTATTATTTCGGACTCGCAGGGTGTTGGCTTTTGAATCTGTTGCTTTTCAGTCCAATGTACAAAAGGACTATATAAGTAGCACGCATTTTCCCCTTGATTTTCGTTGGCCTTGCAAATTCAAATATTTTTTGTGGAGTCAGGGAAACTATGCTTTTTCAGTCGTTTGGTAATTATTACGCTTTATTTATATTTTATTTACGATGTGAAGGTATAATTTGGTTTCGAAAATTATTTATTATGAGATTTTTCATATAGCATCGTACCTGTCCGTTCACCACTGCCCTTATGAAATGCACATAATTGTCCGAATCCATTGAAAAATGTCATGCACTTTATATGATGTCATTTTAAAGGCACAGAAAGCTTGCAAATTGTGCGCTAAAATCACTAAGCACTCATGCAACGACAGATCAGGCTGCAAATTATTCGAGAATTAAGAAACCTTTTTAAACATAATTATGCCCCTTCTTCCAGAATTAAATATAAGGACGACGTTATTCTCTACTAAACAACTAATAGAAAGCATAATTTTTTGCGACTTCTATAAAATATTGTTGAATTTGCTAGGCCATCGAAAATCAGTAAAAAAAATGCCTGCTACTTAAGCAGTCACTTTTAAAGCGAGTATAGTTTGTACAGGATATTGAAAAGCAGCATATTTAAAAGCTGACATCATGTCGAATCCGAAATATAACAGGGTAATTTCGGCAAGGTAGTCAGTATTACAGGCGCGTCTAAGGGATACTTCCTAATCTAAGACGAGAGAAACTAACCATTTGGAGAGTGTGGCTCAATGGGCAATCTGATTTGAACTAATACCTATTCATGTCCTTAAACTTCCCGTTCAAGAAAGAGCCAATTTACACGACAAGCAACTCGCAAAATTATGGGTGCACTCAAGATGACGAGAAACATAAAAAGACCGACATAACAATCACACCGAGGAAGACAGGGAAAACAAACAAGGCGAAAAGTTTTGGCTAAGGAAAATTTAACACTGGCCAAAATGGGATAAAGTAAAAAATAAAATTACCGCCGTCCTTAGCTTCAGAATCAGAAGTGTGGGAATTTGATGGAAGTTCTTCTTTATGTCCACTAATTTTCTCCTCCTCTTTCTCCCTTTCCACCTCGAATGAGCGGTCTGTCGAAGGAGACGACGCTGATGAAAGAAACGAAAAAAGAGACTTAAATAACTAATAAGCACATTGAACATGTTATGCAGCATAACAGGAAATCCTGGTCTATTAGTCAAGTGCAAATAGTCGAGAATAAAACGTCATAAAACCTTGCTGACCTAGGTAAGAAGGCATATATATGTATATATATCAGCGAGGAGGGACGACAGAGAATGCGGGTAGATTGATACAGCACTGTTTCGGGGTTATTCTGCTTTCATTCAGCCAATCATAACCCTGACCACCAGCAGCTGGGACCAGAAACACAAACATGCGCACAGACGCACCTGGCGCAGTCGGTGCACCACTGAGGCCTACCAGATGGGTCATAAGCACTTCATCGAACCGAAGTTCATCAGTGCCTCGCCACCTGTCATTCTCTGTCGCTGCAGATCGGGTATTTATCAATCAGGAATGGGCGCACACCGATCTATTGGCTTCACGAAGCAAACAAGCTCCGTATGTGTGGCAAAGGTCACGAACAGGCTGCTGGTGGTCAGGGTTATGATTGGCTGAATGAAGGCAGAATAAGCCCGAAACAAAGCTGTATCAATCTACCCGCATCCTCTGCCGTCCCTCCTCGCTGCTATTATGACTCGGCCGACTTCGGCCTGGTACTTGGTTGCCTGTTCGTGACCTTTGTCTCACATACGGAGCTTATTTGCTTTGTGATGCCAATAGATCGGTGTGCGCCCATTCCTGATATATATATATATATATATCAGGTATGCCGTTTGCCAGTGTGAAATATCGGAAGGATTGGGAAAATTCCATAATAAACGCAGGAAGTGCCACGGAAAATTTCATACTTAAAGGGTGGAAAATAAGCCAATAAAATGAGGAAATGTGAGGGCATTGACGATGTATTTGAAACTCGAAAGACTGACAAAAACAAGGAAAAGGAAAAAAAGGACTGGAAAGAGAGCGGTATGAAATATGGATGAAAAGCGTGATATTTCAGTGTGAGGTAAAGGAAGGAAAGACGAAAATATGATTAAAAAGCATAAAAAATATGTTCAAATATTTTCTGCGCGCATCTTAAGTGCAAACTGCTGTGGACAATTAATTGGATAAAATTACAACCGTTATTCACCCTAAACCGAATAGATTAAAATAATTAAAGCTGCCGCAAACGCCATAATCAAGGCCACATAGCTTCATGAAAAAGGTGCAAGAAAAGGAATTAAAAGGAACCAAGCGAATGCGGAAAAGGAAAGAAATCTGAAAAATAACCTGACAGTCCTCACCCAGACAAGAATCGAAAATGAAAGCAAAAGCGCTGAATAAGAGGAGGCTATGCAGTTTGGAACAAGATGTATAAAGTTGTGTGCTTAGTGAAAGAAAAGAGGGTAGTACTGATTATAAAACATGAATATTGTCCGAAGGAACCCCGCTGAAATATGCGGCTAACGAAACAATATACACGATTGTAAGAATATCACGCGGTTATCCCACTTTCGCAGATGAAATCCAGTTTAACATGAGATTTCAGTGTGCACCTTTAGATCTAAGGATAAGTGTTTTACTCCATGTCAGGAAGTAAGTTCGGGGGAAATCAAAAGAGAACAATTATAGTCGACGTAAGAACTGTCTTAAAATCTGACACGGAAATGTCACCTAAGCAAATCTTGTTGGAAGTTTCTTATAAATACATAAGCGCTAATTGCTCACACACGCATCATGACTCCACTGTTGGCTAACTATATATATGGATTTGAAACTAGAAAGACTGAAAAAAACGAGGAAAAGGAAAAAAAGGGACAGGAAAGAGAGCGGTATGATATATGAATGAAAAGCGTGATATTTCAGTGTGAGGTAAAGGAAGGATCACTTGAGATTCGAACCCGGGATCTTTGGTCATGGAGTTTGACGCTCTACCATTGAGCCTCGGGTTCGTTGTCCTGTCGGTTGTGATCGGGAATATAAATTCTGACACTGGGCGCTCGCCGATCAGGTTACGGAACATGCTCGTTCTGTTGGGCCTTGGGGCTCATACTATCAGAGCGGATACGACAGAGTCTGGGGGAAGGTAGATCGATACAGCACTGATTCGGGTTTGTTTGCCTTCATTCAGCCAACCATAACCCTGACCACCAGCTGGGACCGGAATCACACACATGCGCACAGACGCACCTGGCGCAGTTGGTCCACCACTGGGAAGGCAATGGATCGGTGTTCGCCCATTCCTGAGTAAATAAATACCTGATCTGCAGCGACAGAGAATGGCAGGTGGCGAGGCACTGATGAACTTCGGTTCGATGAAGTGCTTATGACCCATCTGGTAGGCCTCAGTGGTGAACCGACTGCGCCAGGTGCGTCTCTGCGCATGTTTGTGATTCCGGTCCCAGCTGGTGGTCAGGGTTATGGTTGGCTGAATGAAGGCAAACAAGCCCGAAACAGCGCTGTATCAATCTACCCCCTCCCCAGACTCTGTCGTTTTCGCACTGCTATCATAGCTTGGCCGACTTCGGCCTGGCAGGTGGTTGCCTGTTCGTGACCCCTATCGCCCATACGAAGCTTGTTTGCATCGGGAAGCCAATGGATCGGTGTTCGCCCATTCCTGAGTGAATATATACATATATATATATATGAGATAGAGCCGGACAAAGACAAGGGAGACCGAAATGGCCATTTCTGGCTTATTAGCCGTCATCAGCCAGTCATACCCAGCCCCAAGTGTGGATTACTTGAGATTCGAACTCGGGATCTTTAATCATGGATTTTGACGCCTTAATACTGAGCCTCGTGTCCGTTGTCCTGTCGGTTGTGATCGGGAATATCAATTATGACACTGGGCGCCCGCCGATCAGGTTACGGAACATGCTCGTTCCGTTGGGCCTTGGGGATCATACTAGAACCCTCGCAGGCTGTCGCACAGCGACTAGTGGTAGACATAGATGAGATGGAGCCGACAAAGACAAGGGAGACCGGAATGGCCATTTCTGGCTTATTAGCCGTCATCAGCCAGTCATACCCAACCCCAAGTGTGGATCACTTGAGATTCGAACTCGGGAGCTTTGGTCATGGAGTTTGACGCTCTACCATTGAGCCACGGACCCGTAGTCCTGTCGGTTGTGATCGGTAATATCAATTATGACGGTGGGCACTCGCCGATCATGATGGCTGATGACGGCGCTCGCCGATTATGACGGCTGCGTGTCATGCAATCGATTTTATTTGACGCATTTGAGAATCACAAGTAGAACACTATTTTTCACTGAATTATTACTTTACCGTGGAAATATGATACCGGTTAATGTAAATTATTTGTAAATGGCTTAGATGATTTTGTCGCCCGGCGCTTTTCCAATTTTGTATTTGTTCTGTACTACTTGCTTTTGGATATTCGCATACCCGTCCGTACGTGCAAAAGTTTCAATTCATGCACTTGCAGTTTTTTTGTTGATGATCACTGCACTTTTAGTTCGAATTTAGTTTACTGCCTTCTTGCCTAAAATGTGTTTTATAGTTTATTCACGCAGCATTATGACTCATTTACGTTTTAACTCAGGGGACTTTTATTGTACATTTCAAAAATAAAAATGTATATGACAGACAATTTGAAGACAAGTCCGTCTTCACGCATCAATTTAGGGTTTCAAAACGGCATACGTTTTGCATCCCTTTGAATGGTCATATATTCCCTATGATATAAACAACTAATCATACTGAGTGGACAGTATTGTCATTGGATAGGCATTATCTACCGTGCCACAAAAATAGCACTGACTAAATTTAAATTACGATTGACCGATTTACGGAGAGCTTAGGGTTTTGTAATCTTGTTAGATAATGTAAGTAACCAAAACATAATGGTTGCAAAGGGTAGTTAATTTAAGGATACGTGACTTTCAGAAAAATAACGGGAGCGCACAATACACTTACAATTCTCAAATGAAACATATTTGGATACATAAGGTCATCGAAAATAGTAAGAGTATTGTGCGCATTTTAGCAATTATTTCAAATGAATTATAATTTGCTAGCCGCAAAAAAAGGCTGTTAAATGACCGGAACTGTGGCAACATAACAGTTTACCTAAATGACATGTATCGTAGCCACTGTTTCAGCTTCAGATCAGCACTAAGTACCCAAAATTGCACAAAATCGAAATATATCCAGCATTCCCTGCATGTGGTTATTTATATTATGCGATAACGAACGGGGCCTGCTATGATACTTCCAAGCAATTCAGTTGCATATCACCAGACGCCTCTCAGAAGAAGTCTTCAACACAGCGTTTTAAGGTAATGAACTGATTTAGAGAAAATCGTGAGTGTGAAATTAGACTTAGCAGAGAGATGTGTCCTTATAAAGTGAGGCATTTTGACAGTGCAGTACAATAATATAATGAAAATCCATCCAATTATTGTCTTATCCTTGCAAAGCTGAACATTGTACACATGGAAGTCATAGCTTATACAAGAATTTTTGTATTATGTAAATTGCATTATCATTTCGCCTAGTAATAAAAAAGTATCAAATAATCAAAGTCCCGCAGGAAACAAAAAAAAATTCCGCATAGGTTTAAATGAGATGCATCGGCTAGCGGCACACCGCCAAACATGCAGAAGCAGAGAATGCAGCAGTTCACGATGATCATTATTCAGGCAAGGATGACGATTTTGATAATCAGAAGGCACAGTAATCGGATTTGCATGTGGGCTGACTTCCTAAGTCCCCATTCTCCTATGCAGTTATTGTCATCATTTAGTCAGAAGACTATTGGAGGGGGGAGCGGTATAGTTTGCTCAGAGAAGGCAGACAGAAAGCTTTCGAGGAAGACGCCTATGTTTGCGTACAGCCTGCAACAGTTACTTATGGAATAGGCGCATGTATTACTTGAAATATCAGCGTAGCATTGCAGATACCTTTCCGCTTTGACACCGCCCATCACTTTTTAGCGGTCACTTCAGCAAAACTCTTGAGAGACAGAGGAATGTGAAGGGGAGGAGACTTATCCGTTGCCTTTCTATGACAGAGGATACAGAGCTAGGCGGTTGAGACGTTTCAGAATGGTAGTTTTCGGTTTCTGAGCACAGAACAATAAATATGATAAAAAGTTTGTTTACCGCGTGGCAACGTTGTCACGGATGTGGATGCGTATTCAAGGACCTCGGTGTCATTGCTCCAGA